TCTGTGTTGTTCTTTTGTTTTCTCCCTCATTTTTCTTTCTGTGTCTCAGATTGATAATCTTAGTTAACCTATCTTCAAGTCTGCTCTTTCTTTTCATGTGGTTCTCTAGCGAATTTCTTGTTTATTGTACTTTTTATCACTAGAATTTCAATTTAGTTTTTTATTATGCTTTCATTTTAATTGATACTTTCTTTTTGGTGAGACATAATTCTCATATTTTCTTTTAGTTTTTTATATATGGTTTTCTTTAGTTCTTGAATATTTTCAAAATAGCTGATTTAAGTCATCATCTATAAATATAATGTTTGGGCTTCCTTAGGGACAGTTTCTATTGTTGCTCTTTTCCTGTGTGTGGACCATACTTACTTGTTTCTTTGCATTTCTCTTAATTATATTTTGAACTTCTGGGCAATTTAAATAATATAATGTGGCAACTCTGGAAATTAGATTTTTTCCCCTTTTCAGGATTTATTATTGCTTTTGTTATTGTTATTTGTTCCGTGACTTCTATGAACTAATCCTTTTTAATCTTATTCACTGGTCAGCTAATGATTGGACAGACTTTCATGAATGCCTGGACGCAATAAATCTCAACATCTTCCCGAGGGCTCTGTACATGATGGGGAATGCTATGCCTTCACCACTCTGAGCAGTTGACAGCTCTGCCTAAGTCTTCATACTCTGCTTTCACAGAGCTTCATCATCAACCCAAAGTGAGCTCAGGTCTTCTTTTATCTTTCCTGTGTGTATACACAGCCCTTGAACCCCTGAAGACATTTCATTCCCTAGTTTTTCTTTTTAAGTTTTTCTTTTCAACTTTTGCTTTTGTCCCACAGGCAGTCACAATCTTAAGCAACTGTATGTGATTCTCCCCTTCCCTCCAACAAATGCCCCCAGCAAAAAGACTATTTGTACTGAGCAATCTCTAAGTCAGATAGAGACAGCCTTCTGAGTGGAGGCCTCCAGGGAACCAACAGGTCATTTAATGACAGTTTTCTGAGCATGGGGCTTTGGAGGCACTCCAGTTTGGCTCCTCTAATGACTGTGAGACTCCTGATTTTCAGTATGAAGAGACTGTTACTTTTCCAGTAATGCAGCTGAGGAGATGGGGATAGCAATAGGACTTGTCCGGTTGCCACAAAGCTTCCTGTTCAGATTGAGAATCAGCCATTTTCCTTAAATAAATCCTTTCTGAATTACTCCAATTCTTTGACTAGAGTTCAGAAATAATTGGTTCTGATGATTTCTTTCAGTCTTCACATTGCTTTTGTGGAAAAGAGGCTTTTTAGATATCCTGATGCACTGTTTTCACCAATATCAGTTGATTTGGGGTTTTGCATAGTTTATAACTTTTTATCATTTTTCTTGGTTCTAGGATGTTCACATTCTTTCAGTTCCATTACTTTCCAGACATTGTGTGGCACTTAGCATGTGTTGCTTTATTTTACTGGTATATTACCACCACTGTTATCCTATTAATACTACTGATAATAATATAGTGTGTTCTTTTAAACCATATGTTTCCTAATATGAATTTGCTCATATACAGTTTTTATCAGGGAATATGTTGTTGTAGCACAAATCAAGTGGGAATAGACATGACCTTCATTAAGAGAAGAAAAATATCCCTCAGTTTGACACTTGGCTTCTGCAAGAGCCCTTTGATTTTATTTTAAGAAAATTAAAATGCACACTTTCATCTAGAGACCCTGCCCTATGGAGGTACAGACCTCAGCCTCTGGCAGTTTGTGCTGGACATAGCCTCAGACTCCACGTGCACTGGTGTTCTCAGCACATGCCTACCCTGTTCTAATAAAACATTGTACACCTTTCTATATTCGTTTTTAATATACCTATACTACTCTACTACATTCAGTTACCTGCTTGAATAAACCAAKCTGCCTGCTCTATTCCCATAGTTTGTGTTAGTGTTAAGGGCTCTGTTTCCAAAACTACATAGGTTTTTGGTTTTGTTTGCTTTTTTATTTATTAATTTTTAACAACTACTATGGCCCTTCTAGCTCTTACATCTATTATTATTTCTAAGAAAGTTTGTAGAACAAATTTGATTTGAGACTGGGGGGCATGTGATAGGAAGGAAAGAGCAGAAACCTTTGAAATATGATTATATTTGGATTGGGGYTCTGCAATAAAATAGCTATGTGATGTTGGCATAGTTGAGTCTCAAGTGTTCCATTTATAAATGGAGATAGTAAAGTGGTTGTGAGGCAAATAATGTGTATAGGAGTTGTTACTTTGTCTTTCATTTGCAAGTGATTACAAATTTGATAGTTCTGAGTTGTTGGTCATGAGCTTTTCTGTCAGATCTATTTGTTCCCTAACAGTTTTTTAAAATAAGTTTATTGTGGTATATTTCACATATTATAAAACTCACCTTTATAAAGTGTACAGTTTTAGTATATTCATCACAATATAATTTTTAGAACATTTCAATACAACCAAAAAGAAACACCAGGCCTGTTAGCAGCCATTTCCAGGTTTTGAATGGACTATCCTAACCCTCTTTTTCCTTTAAATTGTTCAATTTTCAGTGTCTAGTTTGCTTAGAATGCCTGTTATATTAACAAAAAATGTTTATATTATACTCTGGGCTTTTGTCCTCATTGCCAAGAGTTTCTTTTCTCATGTCACCATGACCTGTGTTACCTTTCTGTTATGACAAAATACCTGAGATAATAAACTTAAAAGGAAGAAAGGTTTATTTTAACTTGTAGTTTCAAAGGTTTTAGTGTGTGGTCACTTTGGCCCTATTGCTTTGGGCCTATGGTGGCATAGTACATCATAGTGGGGAGTGTGTGGTAGAGGAGGCCTGTTCATGTCATTGTGACGGACAAGCAAAGAGAGGAAAGGGGACAGGATCCCAATATCCCCTTCAAGGATATGCCTTCTAATGACCTATTTTTCTCCCACTAAGCCCTGTCTCACAAAGGTTCACCACTTCCCTGTAGTGCCGTTGCTGGGAACCAAGGCTTTACATGAGCTTTTGGATGATATTTCAGATTCAAAATAGAGCACCTTTGAAATACGACCTGAGTTTTTCCCAAATCAGACTGAAATCTCCTTATTTGCACCTGTTGTGGCGATTGCCTTGTTAGCCACTCTGCCAGTACTCTGCCTCCCTTAGTCAGGTGTGGAGTTTCCTCTTCCCGTCTTCTGTCTGTGGTTCTGTCTCCGTCTGCTCAGCTGACCCATCTTGTCTGGCTCTGGGTGTTCCCAAAAGTCCTGTCTGTGGCATTCTTCCTCTAATGCTGGGTGAGGTCGTCTTTCGTGTTTTTAAATGATATCCTTTTTAATATCTTTCCTGTTCCTGTCAGTAATTTCCTGTTCTTGTTAGCAATTTGCTGTCCCATTGGGAATGTAAGTATGCCTGTTTCTTCACCTCTCCAACAATTTTGGGTTCACYTTTTTGAAATTTTGTTTTTAGTGTGTTTTTAGATATGCCATAATTATTTGGTGTGCAGATAATTTAGGATTGTTGGCTAAGCCAATTCCCAGATGTTCACATTCTGTTTATATTTTTTATTTCCTGTTTCTGGTCTGTTTTTTTCCTCTGAGTACTAGCTTTTGCCCATGTGGATATTTGTCTATGATATATTTTGGAAATTAAATCTTAACCTATTTTTTTCAGTCAATATTTTTATAGTCCAGTTTTTGCCTCGAGTTTTTTTGGGGAGAGGAGGATAAAATATTTTWAAAATATATTTCTAATTAAATCTGCTTATCTGACAAAAGTAGTGTTTTCCATGATCTAATTTCAGAAGCGTTTGTCAGGTCCTTGCAGGAACAATGCAGAGAAGAAAATCAATTATCCCCCTTATTAACAAGATATAGAGAAAACAAGAAACGAGAGAAAAGTGAATAAAAGGAAGTTCATAGCGGGCCTTTTCAAGAACTTGAAATACAAAATTTAAAATAAATCTTTAGTCCTCAAGKGAAAACATTACTTTTATAGTTAAGGAGTAGCTTTTAGTTTTATTTAATCCTGTGTTTTGTTAGAAATATGGGAATTTTAAAAATATTATTATTAAATGAAGGTCTGCAGCCTTAGTATACAGTCTAGGATCATCTCCTTTCCCAGAGGGGGCTCTCGTTCACTAATTTGCATCTTCCACTCTTCATACTGGGCATTGTTGGTCATGACATCCAACTAGGTGTCCAATTAAAGGAATATCATTTCTAATATGTTATATAAAGCCTTTATTTAAATGTTTTGAGTTTAAATAAGGGTCCATCTGACCTTTCTGTTTGCGTAAATAAGTAAAAATAAGTGCGTTAACAGTTCTTATTTCTTGGTATTATGTAAGTTTCCCAAATAATTGAAGTACATTCTTCAGCTCACATATCTTATCTGTAATGCCAATTTTGCAAACCTAGTTTTACTGACTAGGAGATATCTCTTTATCTCCCTTCATGTCTATCATAGTTATTTGGGCCTTTGCTGTGCCTTGCTTTGAGTTGTAAAGCTTCAGGTGCATTAGTACCCACTAATTAATGGGTGTGTAATGTAACTGTGGAGAGTAGAGYGGCCTCGAGGCACACTGAGCATCTTAAGTTGGGACACCCCTCCGGGCAGAGACTGATGATCCATTCCTCTGCTTGAGACAACTTGCCTGTGAAAGGGATCATATGATCAGATTCTTGGGGTCAGTCCTGCAACRCAGACATTATTGAGTGTTTTCTGATGACTAATGTATACCTGAAAATGGTTTTCCACTGAAGTATTTTTTGAGATTGATATCAAACCAYTGTTAATGCCAATGCCATTTATTTGTAATTTGCCTGCTATGTGGAGTGTAAGAACTTATTTTGAGAAGAGATCAGGATCAGAATTATGTACCACTTGTGTGGTATTTCTAGGATCTTTTTGAAAGGAAGCCTCTGCGGTTCCTTTGTTCAAGAAAAAACTAGTAATCCACCCATCCCTCTCCCCTTTTGTTTTCTTTTCAAATCATCTGGAAACCACCTAATACTCTTTCTAGGTGTCCTGGAGCTTCTCATCGGAGAGTTGCCTTAGAGAGAAGGAAAACTAGTAAAACTCAGACAGAGATTGAGAATGAAAATGGATCCACTATAATAGATCCTTCAGGTTCTTTATCTCTAGAAACAGACTGTTTGGGGATGGGGACAGGCACAGGCACAGTGCCCCCTGAGCGGAATTCAACACCTGCATCTCTTCCCACTTGGACTGAAGAGCCTGGCTTGGACAACCCTGCCTTCGAAGAGAGCACCGGAGCCGACAGTAYGTGCAGTTTATCTCTTCGTGTACTTCTCTCTCTATTGCCTTCTTTCCCACTACTCTTCCAACACTTTGTCCTCTTTAAAAATATCACTTTGAGATGTAATTCACATACCACATCATGTACCCTTTTCAGTGTACAGTTCTAGCAATTTGCATTTTAGAAATAAAACATGAGTCTTACCCCGGAGGAAGGTGAACCTTCCCCATCCCTTTTCTCTAGTAATCCACAAATTCACTGGTCATTCACACAATTCTTATTATTCATGTGTATGTGTTCAGAAACTTGTTTGTCTCTTGACATAAGAAATCAACAATATCAAGAAYAAAACAAAAATGTTAGCTGATATCAACTGCTTATTCTATGTTTGCTTATTCTATATTGAGTACTTTCTATTTAATTAATTAAATGCTTAAACATCATTAGAAGATTAAGATTAAAAGGGAAAGCTTATATAGCCACTAGGTAGCTGGGGATTTGATATCTGACTTCAAGAACATGCTTSTAATCATCATTCACCTCTGGAGCTAACCACAGCTCTATCTGTACACCCCACCAGGAAATAAACGGAAAGCCTGCAGTTCTAGATCTTAGGCAGTCCTCTGCAGTTAGCCTTACGTATTTTACTTCTAAAAATACTTTTCTCTTACAAACTAMAAATTTTACTGCATACTAAAATTTTTCTGGCTATAGCTGTGGACCCTTTTCATCTCCTAAGACTCAAGATCTGCCTCTTTCTTAGGAGCTTGATAAGGCAAATTTCTTAACACCTGAGGGCTTATTTACWACAGAATTAGGGTTTTCTTTTTTCACTGCCTTGAACTATTTACACTGCTTCATGGCCTAGACTTTCTCTTCTCTTATTAGTCATGGCAAGATGATTTATGTTAATGTTTCTTCATCAGATCATTCTWGTCAGCCCTAGTGATCTGATATGCAGTAGTTATTTGTTGATTATTTGCTGATCACCTTTGGAAAGAGGAAATTTTAGATAATGTTAACCTAGATTTCGTTTGTCATTACATTTCTTATCCAGTGGCATTGCTTAATTAATCATCTACATAATWACATGAGAAGCCTTATTGACCTGAAAAGAATCAGAATATAAAACATTTTTTTCTTTGTTTTTCTTCTCTCATTTTCAACTTGGCAGCTGCACAACAGCCACTTAGCTTACCAGAAGGAGAAGTTACCACCATTGAAATTCACCGGTCCAATCCATACATTCAGTTAGGAATTAGCATTGTGGGTGGCAATGAAACGCCACTAATTAACATTGTCATCCAGGAAGTCTACCGGGATGGGATTATTGCCAGAGATGGGAGACTCCTTGCTGGAGACCAGATTCTTCAGGTATCAGTTTTAGTTTTTTCTGTTAACTTGGGCCTTTTTGTTCTTGTAAGTTTAAAACTTAGAAAATTATGATATTGTGGAAACTGATAGAAAAGTTTTTCTATTTTCATGTGCAAAGCAGATCAGAGTTTATCTTTAATTTTTTCTATATCCCCATATACTTTTACATATATATATATATATACACATATATGTATACTTAATTTTCAGTCTCACATGTGACTGTATACACAGTACCAGGCTCTCTGGGCATGCTAGGTTCTTCCTGGCTTAGGCTTCATGACTGACTAGTCCAGGGTGACCTTTACCCAGGCTGAGATTTTCTTATCCATTGGCATTTCCCACACCCAGTTTTCCCATCCGTCTCTTACTTTTGTGTCTGTTTTATCTTTCTGTATATTGATTACTGACTGTAATCAGAACCACAAAACATTAGTTACTTTTTTTTTTTTTTTTTGGTGGTATAGGGAATTGAACCCAGGGCCCATGCATGCTAAGAAAGTGCTTTGTCATTGAACGATACTACCCCAGCCCAACTTACTTATAATTTATATCACAGAAATTTAAGACAGAGTTCAGAAATTTTAGTCATCTCTTACTGACTCCCACATATACTCTAAGAATTCTAATTGCATTTTTAATAACCCCTGATACAACTCTTTCTCTTGTTCCAGAAGATTATTTTTAAGAAGAAATAAGTATTCCCAAAAAAACAATTAGTATAGACAAGATAATTTATTGGAGGGCATATTGAAACTTAAGAGATAGGAATAGTAAGAATTCTCTATACAATTGGAATTTATATGAAGACTGGTCTGGACATTTGAATCAGTGTAATATTTAAAGCTCAAAAAATGGAATAATTTCTGGAAAGATGAAATAAATACTCATGAACAAGAAAATCTGTCTCTTAAGAATCAAGTGCAAGGACTTTTCCTTCTTTAGATTTGTTGTTGAGTCTAGCACTATGATCTTCAGATACCTACCTCGTACTTCCATTTGCTCTGGTGTAGGCTTCACTATTTCATGTCTGATTAGTAGAATACCCTACACACACACACMCCCACAGTGGTGCTTTGGAGCCCATAAGTGAAGCTACCCACTTTGTCCAGAAGTGGAGAAGTAAAACTCTTGTGGTCATTGAGAAGTGAAACTCTTGTGGGATGGGGCTATAGCTCAGTGTATAGAGTACAAGGCCTGGGTTGAACCCTAGTACTGCAAAAAGTAATAAGTAAAAACCCTTTTTGAATGTTTTTTCCCCCTGTTTGGTTTTTTGTTGTTGTTATTTTCTACTTCATATAAGCTGCATATGGGTAAACCAATTTGAAAATGCCCAAGAAGCAGTAAGATTATTTGCAGACCAGAGAGCTAAGCTATAGTTTTATTTAAGCAAACCATGTGCAGCTAACAGTGGGTGACTTTGTTTCCCCCATATTGAAATAGATATAGACAAAGAGAGAAAGATACATGTACATACATTTATGTTACTTTATTAAAAGCCTCTTTGCAAAGGAGGACCTTTTGGTGCTATTCACAAATTTATAGTTTTTAAAGAACAGCTTTTATAAGCTTTATCAATATCATTATTAAATATAATATAACTTTTAGAACATTAGTAAGAATAAGTATTTTAGTTTGACAAAAATCATTGATGATYTAGGTGTTTCCAGTTTTGAAGGAAAATAATTAGTCATGTATTAATCACTTTGCTTAAAACACGCACGCGCGTGCGTGCACGCACACATACATACATACACACACACACACACACTCTTAACCCAGAAATGTGGTAGAGTTTACTTTGCTGATGATGTTTTACAAAATCTAGAAGGAGCATTTAATTTGGTCTGTCTGTTCTCTGAATTTCAACTGACATCCAGTTGTAGGATATTTCTCAGTCTATTTCACAAAGAAAATATGAGACAGCATGTTTGCATGTGGCTGGAAAAAATAGTTGGATTTCAGCCAGATGTTTTGTAAAGTCCTTTATGATATGACCAAATTTGAGATGTGAACCTAGAAATAGGTAGCTTTTAGCTGATGAGTCCATTTCAGCCTAGTTTTGCAGAAACTACCTTAAAGTTCTGGTCTTGACCCATATTAGTCAACATTTCTATTAGTCTTGGATCACCACTACTAAGTGCCTATATGTTGCAGACTTGGGGAGAAGTTTATATGTGACAGCTATCAATTTGATGACTGAAGTTTAAAAGATGAAATTTTTAAAAAGAGGTGAAAAGCAATAAAATTCTAGGTAGTAATGTTCAAGTTAGTAAAGTTCATCCCAGGAAAAAGAAACCAGCAAACCCCAAAAGATAAATCAATCTCAGATAAATAGGAAAGGGGAGATCTGGCTTAACATGAATTTATATGAAAAAGATTTAAGAATTTCAGGTGATCACAAACACCTAACTCATAGCCTGCCCCAACGAAAATGTTCAGAGAATGTTTGTGTTAAATCAGACCAATTCAAAGAATTCTAATTGTTTAAGAAAAAAAAMCCCTAAAAATTATGATTATTTACTAGATGAATATTTGAACTGGATGTATTTTCTAAGTGATCTTACACGTCCAAGGATCAGTCACTATAATTATTTCAAGGTTGTAAAATTTAATAAATGATATCTAGTATTGAATTATGATTAGCGAGTTAGATATATACTTGTATAATAAAGAATTAAGAGTGAAATTTTAATTACCTACTTTTCTTAGAAAGTCACCCATCTAAAGTAGGTTGTGCACTTGGAATGTGCCATTTTCCTTAAAATAGAATTCAGTTTATTTTCTCTGGGTTAAGTGTACTTCATTTGGAAAAACAAATTTGTAACCCAGTGGAGCTCTGGTTTATCAGTTAGTATGCCAGAACCAAGGACTCTAATTCAAGACTATCATCAAAACCTATGATCCTAACTCCTATTCTCTATCCAGTTCTAGTAAGTTGATTTTAGAAACTGTATTTTTAAATGTCTTCAAATTGGTTTTCTTTATAAATAATGTAAAATGCTGTATAGCATTTTCACAATCTTATTTCCATTGAAAGTGGCATACAAACATTTCTGCAAATTAAGAAAATGAAAGATTATTATGTGTTGATCCTAATTTTGTTTTTTTTCCCTAGGTCAACAACTATGATATCAGCAATGTGTCCCATAACTATGCCAGAGCTGTCCTTTCTCAGCCCTGTAACACTCTGCATCTTACTGTGCTGCGAGAGAGGCGCTTTGGCAACCGAACCCATTCTGACAGCAACTCTCCACGGGAAGAGGTTTTCCATGTGGTTCTTCATAAACGGGACTCTGGAGAACAGCTTGGCATTAAATTAGTACGAAGGACAGATGAGCCAGGTGTATTTATTCTTGACTTGTTGGAAGGGGGTCTGGCCGCCCAGGATGGCAGGCTTAGCAGCAATGATCGTGTGCTGGCTATCAACGGGCATGACCTGAAGCATGGGACCCCAGAGCTTGCTGCCCAGATTATTCAGGTAGATGCCGAATGTTGAGCCTTAACATCTGGCTATATTTGTTTTGACTGGTGCATAACATCAAAATTCAGGAAACATTTGATAAACTTTATTAGAAAGATCAGACATGGCTACCTTAATTCTTCAAAATTCACACTAGTATAAGTTTTCTTGTAGACAAAGTTTTTTTTTTTCTTTCTATAAACTGTCTCCCTGTGTGAACTTTTGTGTGGATTCTTCACAGCATAAGCTCTACAGTTCACAGTCTCATTTGATTGCTGGATTCCACCTAGTAAGCAAGATACAACAGAGAGCAGTGTCTACCTTTAATGAGGAGGAAGGTGGAGCTCAGGGAAACTGTAATTACCAAGGCTATGACTTAGCAGTGGTTTTTAACTTTTAACTCCCCTTTTAACTCCCCTTCAGGATCTATATAAGTAAGGGGCAAATAATATTTTAATAAGAAAAATCTTTGCATGGTGGCACACRCCTATAATCCCAGTGGCTCAGGAGGCTGAGGCAGGAGGATTGCGAGTTCAAAGCCAGCCTCAGCAAAAGCAAGGCACTAAACAACTCAGTGAAACCCTGTCTCTAAATAAAATACAAAATATGGCTGAGGATGTAGCTCTGAGTTCAATCCCTAGTACTCTCCCCTGCCCCCGCCCCCCCAAAAAAAGAATAATCTTTCTTGGCCTGGTGTGGTGATGCACACCTGTAGTCCCAGCTTCTATTTATTTTCATTTAAGATGCCCATAAATAACATTGTTGACAGAAATATATAGACTAAGAATTAATAGGACRAGTGCAATTGTATCAATATGTAATCATACATTTGTGGACATAYACATAAAAAATGTTTGGAATGATGTTCTATAACATTAATGTGTTTATACTGAATGTGATTTAATTGTCTTATTTTCTATATTTTTCCTTCATTTTTTGTAACCCAAAAACAGTAAGACTTCTAATTTTTTTTCATAAAGGACCTTAAATTGAGCAACTTCAATTTTCCAGAGTTTAGGAAATTTTATACCACAAAATTTTATACCACAAAATTTATGCCTTCAGTTATAAAAATTCAAATATGAAATATCAGGGAAAATTTTTAAAGTTTCTACTTGTATGTTACACATTCTACATTTTGGTTAGAAACTCATTTAAGATAACGAGTATTTAAACATTGTTTAGAATATTTAAGTATTGACTGAGAAAATGTACAAATAATAGCGTATTCCTCTTATTAGTCTTCTTACTTCATAAAGTACACTTGACTTTTTTATTTCCTCAAATTCATGAAACTACTAGATTTCTTTTTTCTTCTTTCTTTCTCCTTTTTGTTATCTTCTCCCTCCCACCATTCTCCACTCTCACAAGATGAACTAGTTTTCAACAGTATAGCAACTGGTTAATGTCCACAGAAATGAGTCTCAATAATTATCTTTTCAAGAATTTTAAAGCTATCCAATTTCTTTAAACCTCAAGTCTATAAAATGAGACCAAATACCTGAATCTCCTCTCAGTGTAATAGAAGGGGTGAAGACTTGGATATTCTTATATAGTTAAATGTTCATTGTTATTTGATTCTGTGTTGCAAATAACATTTCTCAGTGACTGTCAACCTGATGCTCAATTGTAATGATGCTGGTTTTGCTTTATAGCTTTTTGTTGTGCTTACTTTAAGAAAAACACCTTTGTGTTTCACATTTATCACTGTGGGGTATGGCCTCTATCATTAAATACCATAGCATGCTGCAGAACCTATAGATCATCTCTGGATTCGCCCCCGATGCTCTGTACAATGTTCTTCTTGAAAACATGTCTTCTCTAATAATGGCTGTCCCTACGTATTTCATAAGAGTATTAGAGAACACATTTTATGGTGTGTTTAAAACACTTTGAATTCCTTAAAAATTGAAAAAAGCACTAGTTTTCTTCCATGTTTTGTTTCTAAGTTTAAGTCATTTTGCTAAAGTCACTCCAGAAAGATCAGAAAGACTTTTATGAATGATTCTAGGGCTTTATCTGGGCAGTTGATGGGGAGGAAACATGGCTGTTTTCATTAGCTAATATTTTAAAAGTTCTGTGGTTGAAACACACACACACACACACACACACACACACATATATAAGTGTTAAATTATTTTAGAGGTTTGTAACTATCATTTTAAAACTGTTTTAAACATAGATTCATACCTATTATACTAATTTATAATCCCAGCAACAAGGGCATTCACTCATGAATTGCCGTTTTGTGATTTGGACAGCCTACATTTTAATTTCTAATTATTTATTTATTTAGGTAGAAGAGGTTGAACCCAAGGGTACTTTACCACTGAGCTACATCCCCAGTCCTTCCTATTTTTTATTTTGAGGGTCTCACTGAGTTGCTGAGGGTCTTACTAGGTTGCTGGCGACTGCTCCCAAACTTGCAGTCCTCTTATTTTAGCCTCCCAAATTGTTGGGATTACAGGTGWACACCACTGCATCCAGCAGCACCCTACATTTTTAAAATTTTGATTTCTAACAAAATGTTTGCTTTTTTTAAAACCCTAAAACATTAAATGCATCGGCTTTTGAAATTATACTAAACCCGCATGCTAGTCTGTCATTTAAATTCTAAATGCACACTTCATCACATTCACAGAATTTTGTCTTTCAAGCAATTTTTGAAAAAAAAAAAAAAGGATTTGCTTCCATTAATAGGTGTGTATAAGCAGCTTACAACTAAAGTTGAAATACTGATTTTTTATTATAAAGTAAGCAGGAAGGAAAATTAGTCTGTATAATGAAATGAAATCCCAAAAGGAGCTATTCATCGCTTCACACAGTGCAATGTAATAATCTGTGATGTCAGAATTTTMAATAAAAGGATTCTGAACACTTCTCCTTGGCATTTACCCTTTAAATCAAGTTCCTGAACTGCRTGGAGATGCTGGCTGAATGTTATTCCTTTGTTATTTTGAAGAAATTGTCTGAAACTGTTTAGTTTAGTAAAATGCTTAAATAACAAATGATTTGTAGTATGGTATTCAAATTGTTATTTATTTTTCAATTTAAAAGCTTAAAAAAGTGATTTCTTAATATTTTGACTTCAATCATGAGGAAGATTTCTACTTTTTATCACAATTTGTAAAATAAAGCTCTCATAATTTCCCATAGGAATAATAGTAAAATTGGGATTGTGGCCATGCCAAGAACAGACATCAAGTAAATCAGACCGGAACTTTTAAAATAAGAACAAAATAAATTTTCAAACATAATAGGTGTGAATCTCTGTTTGAATTAAGATTACAGGCCTCTAAATTTAAAATGAAGGTCATCAACATCTAAAACAGTTTAATACGCATGTGTGTGTGTGTGTTTCAGCCACAGAAATTTTAAAATATTAGCTAATGAAAAGAACTTCATCCTCCCTGCTACTAGATATATTCAGCTGCTCAGTTAAAGCCCTKAAACAATGATTGAGAAGTGCATAGTGTAATCTTTTTAAAATGGCAAGCATTCTTCATGACAGTGTTTCCTCCTATGTGTTTCCTCCAGGCCAGTGGGGAGAGAGTGCAATTAACAATTGCTAGACCAGGAAAACCCCAGCCTGGTAACACCATCCGAGAAACAGGAAGTCACAACAGCAGCCAGCACCATGCACAGCTGCCCTCTCACAGCAGACCAAGCTCACATAAGGTGAGGTGGTTTTTGTTAATGTATGTTGTCCTCAAAGAATCACTGTTACAAGCTTATAAATTTTAAATGGAGGCATTTTATATGCAGATCATACCTCAATAAATGGATTTTTTTGGAACAATTTAAYTGCAGGCTATTATTCTATTGAAAGTTTGTATCTTGGAGAGTCAACTTTCGTTGTCTCAATTCCTCAGCCACAAGAGATGGTTTCTTGGCAGGGAATGTTCCTCTGTCAAGTGGTTGACAAGAAGTAYATGATCTTCCAGAAAAATCTGTTTGCTTAGTACTACTTGAAAGTGAGATTTATCTTGGGTTGCTTATTTAACTGTAAGTATTAGTTATATGATTGAAAAAGTATCGAAAAGATCAACATGTCGGTATTTAACAGTTGGGCACATTGCTTGCATAATAATTATATTTGTGAATATTAAACATGAATCATAAATTTAAAAAAATATTTTTAGTTGTAGATGGACATACTAACTTTATTTTGTTTATTTAGGGTTTTTTTTTTTGTTGTTGTTGTTGTTTTAAATGGATGCTGGGGATCGAACCCAGTGCCTCATGCATGCTAGGCGAGTGCTCTACCACTGAGCCACAACCCCATGCTGTGAATCATAAATTTTGATAGATACATGTATAACATGTTTTCATGTGATAACTTAGAGGAATATTATCCTATTACAACATTAAAATTCCCATATGYTGAACTTTGTTACTGCTGCCTCCAAATTACTAAACTGGCTTTATAATATATTCCAAGGTCATTTATCTGTGYTGAGAATTTTGATGTCTCACTTGRTAATTACAAAACTCAAAAAAGAATGGTACTTTAGCATTCTTGGTATTATTTACTCCATGCATCCTTCCTTTAAACTAAACTTTCAGTTGGACAGGAATTTTAAAACAATGATGTAATGCTTACCCAGTTATCTGAACATGAAAGCTAAATAGRAGCTTCTAAAGTTATTCTTCTTAAGTAAAATTACTAAAGTCCTTGGCTTAACAAAAACTGATTGATCTGCTTAAAACCCATAGAAAGTTCCTTATCTGCTAAAGCAGCCTTTAAATTGAAGTATAACATTTGAGAGAATAATTCCCCTTAGAATCTACTGTTGGTATCCTAAGAAAGCATAGCTGAAAGGYAGTATTTTTGGCCCATAAAGTTAATCTGGTTTTCCAAGCTAAGTACAAATGTGTCACTAGTTTTTTATTTAGTTAATATTTAAGAGAAATTATAACCACAGAATTGTTCTCTTGTTTGAACAAAAATCAAAATGTATAAAGGAAACCTATAACTTTGCCTTCATAATGATGACTATGAAACAATACCTGTAACCATTATTGTTTTGAAAAAGATTTTGAATGTTTCATATATCTAGTTGCTTCCATTACTATATATTAATATATGCTTTAATATATATATAATATGTATATATAATATATGTCAATATATTCTTTTATATTTATGAAATGGTAATATAAAGCAAAAGATAATGAAATCTTTTATGCCTCTGATTTTTTTACATTAATTTTGAGACACAGATGTCTGACAAAATTAGAATGTCAAGACAATTTTGAAAATTCTATTTAATCATTCTAGTATTCATATTTTTTTAAATTCATATTAATTTTTTAAAATATTCATATTTTTATTTTTTGTTTTGGGCACAGATATGTTTATTTCATAAATTTGCTATTTTTTATCCTCATTAATTTTTATGTGACACTGTTTTAAAGAATAAAGCCAAATTCATTCTTAATTTTAGGTACTTTATATTCCCTCATTGGTTAGAACAACGACATAGAATGAATTATAAATTTAGCTGTTTTCTTCTAGCAGATTGCATATGTTATATCAGGATYTGATTAAGAAAAAGATCTCCCATGGAAACCAAATTCACCCAGATTCACCAAGACAACCTATTCAGATGGTTGTAATCATCATTAAAAAGTACAGTRCACACTACACCTCTTAATAACTGCTTTGATAAGCATTTATATGATTTTTGAACCTTTAGTTCCTTGAAGCATACTAAATATAATCTTTGAAATTTGCTTTAGTTCCCTGAGGAAAAATTGCATACATTTTAGCCATCTGAAGCTATAAAATAACTGCCCTTATTAATTGACTAAATTCATAAGGGTATGTTTAAATAAGTATACTCAAGGCTATTTCCCTTAGTTGTCTTCATGACCAAATTGTGTTTGGCCAGTTTTGAAGAATACTAACATAAATTTCATACCTTTAGATAGAAGACTACCTTAACAATGTTGACAAGTTCATAGCATCAGGACATTTTTCTAGGAATTCTATGCTGCTATACAAGTAGTTCCTTTGATAAATTTCAATCATGCATGGATTGCACGTCAATAGAAGGGCAGATGAGCTTAGATTTCCAGACTTTAGAGATTTGGTAAATACCATCATCAACAGTTAAGTACATGTCAGCTTTTTAAAATAATATTATATATACTTTTGACATGTGTAAGTTCAAATCCCTTGTGCAGTCACTTACAATTGCAGGTTACCTGATTTCTCTGAGTTTGTTTCCTTGTCTATAAAATGGAGTTAGTAATAGTATTTACTTTCAACACCATTGTGAGGATTAAATGAAAGAATGCAAGCAGGCCACTAACTTTGCACATATTAAGCCTAGTAAATGTTAGTTATTATTTTAATATTGATATTGCATATGTATACCTTATTACTGAATTCTAATTCAAAGAACAGTGACATTTTAGATTCTCCTTTTTTCTTACTATCAGGAGTGTCTTGGTATGAATAACAGTAACAAATGTTAGTAAGGATAGCTTTTTCCTGCTGGGTACAGTGGCGCACACCTATAATCTCAGCAACTCTGGAGGCTGAGGCAGAAGGATTACAARTTCAAATCCAGGTTCAGCAATTTAGCAAGACCCTGTCAGAGTAAAAAAATTAAAAAGACTGGTGAGGATGTGGCTCAGCAATTAAGCAGCCCTGGGTTCAATCCCTGGTACCAATCAATCAATCAATATTTTTTTCCTGAGAATATTGGTTCATTGGAAATTTATTTACATGTCATTAATATTTTCAAAAATGTGGTTATTTTGTATCGTTTCAGCTTTTTATGAAGGTTTTGAAAGTAGATTTGCATTTGCCTCATGACCAAGCACTTACAGTCCTCATCAGTAAAAATCAGAAGATAGGTCTCTAGCCTTTTTTAAAAATGATTTAGGGAGAAAGATACAAGTAAAATTAATTGGCTTGTCTTCAGAATTTAAAACTCAAAAGCATTATTTACTTTTACAGAGTTGATCTATCTTGGAGCTCAAGATAATTATACAAATGATGTGTTGATATTTTTTTTTTACTTCCATATATCAACAGTTCTAAATTTTTTGAGTTCCATAAATATTATATAAAAATAAATTAGTTCAAAGTTTGACACTGATATTAAGTGTACATATTAAGAACTATGTGTTGCTTTCAGTCGTTAGGGGTAAAAAAATAAAATCTCTTTATAAATGCTACATAGGTATCACCTTGGTTTAATAAGCTGTTTTTACCTCAGCTATCTATTATTTCATTATTCAATATATATTTTTTTCTTTTTGCTTTAGGATCTTACTCAGTGTGTTACATGTCAAGAAAAACATATTACTGTAAAAAAGGAACCACATGAGTCCCTTGGAATGACAGTTGCTGGGGGCAGAGGAAGCAAGAGTGGTGAACTGCCCATATTTGTGACCAGTGTACCACCTCATGGCTGCCTTGCGMGAGATGGCAGAATCAAGAGAGGTAAGATAGGATCTGGAGCATTTCCACCAAATCTTATCCCTGATGAAGAGTRTTTACAGGTGGTTATGATGGCTCATACCTATTATCCCAGCTACTGGGGAAGCTGGGGCAGGAGAATCAAAAGTTTGAGGACAGCCTGGGGGGGGAAAAAAAAAAGCATGTCTTCAGAGTTTCCTATTAATGTCCTTGAATGTCCCTTRCATGTGATATCTTCCTATAGGGTTAGGTAAATACCCAATATAAAAGAAAATTGTTGAGGGCTGGGGATATATCTCAGTTGGTAGAGTGCTTGCCTTGAATGCACAAGGCCCTGGGTTCAATCCCCAGCACCACAAAAAATGAAAAAAAAAAAATTGCTGAAACTTAATAAGGATTCCAGAATTTACAAACTATTACTTTGTTGGATTTTTTTTTTTTTTTTTGGAAAAAATCCTCTAAAAGACTTATGCTTCAGCATTATGGCAGGTACTCTGAAGATTCATCTCATTAAAATATAAATGATGCTTGTGATAAAATGTCTATGTAGAAGAGGACTCAAAGAGGAGGTGGGGCAGAAGACAATTTTATTTTAGGGACAAACTCACTAGTTTAAGTTCCTTCCCTATGCTCTGTAATTTGCATAGATGGGAAGGTGTAACTTATCAGTATTACTATTGATAAAAACAACAGTCTTTATTGACTTAGTTGTTCATATGGAAAGAAAATTGAGCCTARAATTTGTTTTCCTTTAGACTCCTGCCTCATACCATATGCAAAAATTAACTTATAGTGGATCCAAGACCTAAATTCAGAGCTAAAAGTCTTAGGAGRAAACACAAATGTAAATCCTCATGACCTTGGATTGTGCACTAGTTTCTTAGATAGACACTAAGAGGTCAAGTCACAAAAGAAAAAAATTAGGGAAACTAAACTTCATCAGAATTAAAACCTTTTGTGCTGCAAAGACCACCACCTAGAAAGTTAAAAAAAAAAAAAGAATGAGAGAAAATATTTGCAAATCATATATGTGTGTGTGTGTGTGTGTGTGTCTATTCAAACAATAAAAAATAAACAGCCTAGAAAGACTGAAAGGTGATTAGTGGTTACTTAGGTTTTATAGGTGGGGAGTGACTGCTCATGGGGTTTCTCAGGGGATGATAAAAATGTTCTAAAAATTATTGTGGTAGTGATTGCACAATATGCTACAAACCATAAAACAATGTATTTTAATGAGCAAATCGAATAGTATGTGAACTATTATATCAAGCTGCCTTGATATAATAGTTCACATACAATCACTACCACAATAATTTTTAGAACATTTTTGTCACCCCCTTTTAAGTTATTTGTCCAGTTTTAAAATTGAGGTAAGTTTAGTTCCTTGTATTTTCCAAGTTTTCTATAAGAGAAAGTTTGCCTTTAATAATCTGAAAAATAGATGATAAATTGGGAAAGGGGGATTTTTCTATAGACTTTCTAGCACAAATGTCTGCTTCCTATAAAACTAATCCTTTCTTTCCTAAGCTTTACTATAATCCCCATCATGCTTTTTCATTATTATTTGGGAGAGCAACAAATACGTCTTTTCTCTCTCAAGCAAGGGAAAATGTTTAAATCACAAGTTTCTGTCGACTGGCCCAATGGTGTCTTCTCTGTACATGTTTTAGGTTTTTTTGCCCTGAGTGAACTATGCAGGGTTGTCTTTATGTATAGAACTGTGTAAGTATTAACTAGACTATATTTAAAATTTATTTCTAAAAAAGTAAAAGGTCAAATAGCTTTTGAACTGGAAATAAAAAAACTATAGAAATAGCTGAAATTCAAAGTAAAGAAATAAATATGCCCAGGGCCTGTAGATGACAAAACTCAAGTGAATGATTTGAATTTCCAATCATATCAAGGTGCCATAAGCCATACTTCTTTCTCTGTATTCTTTCTCTGTATTATGACATTATTTAAAATTTTTWAAAYATTTATTTTTTAGTTGTAGTTGCACACAGTACCTTTATTTATATGTGGTGCTGAGGATGGAATCCAGGACCTCGAGCATACTAGGCGAGCGCTCTACCCCTGAGCCACAACCCCAGCCCTGTTATTACTTTAAATTTTAAAATTTTGAACCATTTTGGAATGTTTTCAATGAATTGGACTTGTTATCACTGCTGTAAAAATTATAAAGAAGTAAAAAGTGACCTTTTTACCTTACCTGAGTTATTGAAACCTTTGTTGATTAGTTTACAGACAAGTTTTGTAGGGAAATGATCATTTGGTGACCAGAGGACATATATTTTGGTTTCTTCATTTGAATAGGTGATGTGCTGCTGAATATCAATGGCATTGATTTGACCAATCTGAGTCACAGCGAGGCTGTTGCTATGCTAAAAGCCAGTGCTGCTTCTCCAGCTGTTGTCCTTAAAGCACTGGAGGTCCAGATTGTTGAGGAGGCGACTCAGACCTCAGAAGAGCAGCCAAGTACTTTCAGTGAGAACGAGTATGATGCCAGTTGGTCTCCATCCTGGGTCATGTGGCTTGGACTTCCAAGGTATTGATAGCTTTTTGTTGTTTTGTGGAGTAATACTTGCAGTCCTCTTCAGTGAAAATTAACATAGTGAACTTACTTCTTGTTGAGAGCAAAGGCCTTAATTAGATAAAAGTATCAACATCAAATCAGATTATTTTTTAAAATTTTTTCCTATTACATTTTAAAAGAGATTCAATAACAAGAGCTAAGCTAAAAAGATTTACCTGTTTATAAAAACAAGGAAAGCAGTTCTGCCCATCCTGATTAAGGATCTCATGTATGCTGGCCATAAGTTTGGCTGTGCCAGTTGCTTGCTTAGAAAAGCTGCCRTTACCAACACTCATTCTGATCTGTGCTTAGACTTCACATGCATCTTTCACATGAARAACCAAGCTGGTGCTTGAGGCTATACCCTATTACAGGAGCCTTTTTAAAAGTCCCTTTTTATCTTTTTAACTTTCACTAAAAAGGCASGATTTGGGGGTTTTGTTAGACACACAAATTTCAAAACCAAATCATTTTATTTTTAGCTATTCCACCTTTTTAAAGARTCTATTGCTTCGTAACTGACTATGACCAACCCAAAACATTCTGTAGTTGGTTTGTGTCAGGGTCATAGAAGCACATGGAACCTCCAGTGACATCTTCCTTCCTCTGGACGGTTGTTCTTGGTATTAAGATGGCAAGAATGTATGTTACTATCTTTAGTTTCTAAATCAGTTTCAATTCTTTTTTTTAAAATACTTATTTTTTAGGTGTAGATGAATACAACACAATGCCTTTATTTTTATGTGGTGCTGAGGATTGAACCCGGGCCCCGCCCGTGCTAGGCGAGCACACTACCGCTGAGCCACAATCTCAACCCAGTTTCAATTCTTACTGTATAAAAGTCTAAAAGTGAGCTATGATGAAACATTTTGACTCTTAACCAAATATAAAAATTACTGTCTTTAAAAAAAATAAATAAACAAGACAATACCAGTTTCTGGACCATCTGATTCATGTGCAATAAAGTTATAATAACTAGTAGTCATATAGTGCTTTATTGTTTCCCCTTTTTGGTTTTGGTATGGGGATTGAACTCAGGGGCACTTAATCACTGAGCCACATCCCCAGCCCTTTTTATTATTGTATTTTGAGGTAGGGTCTTGCTAAGTTGCTTAGGGCCTCACTAAATTGCTGACGCTGGCTYGGAACTTGCAGTCATCCTGCATCAGCCTCCTGCTAGATTATAGGTGTATGCCACCATGCCCAGCTCCTAGTGCTTTGTAGTTTATAAAATACTTTCACATAAAAAATATCAGGGAAAAAAGCACAAATATTATTGGATTTTATTTATTGCTAACCTAACYGGCTTGTTCTCTTGGTTAAGAGGGGAGCAGGGGAGACAATTAAAGGCCTAAAACTGGAGTAGAATTCATGTCTCACAGACCTGTAGAGATCTTTTGAAGAAAGCTTTTGGGTTTTTTTGTTTATCTGTCTTTGCATCAAAGATTATTACATCATATATGTTTATTCCGTGCATCAAAACTGATTTTTCCCCCCCATTGGAAGATAAACAAAGACATCATGGCTGCTGTTAACTTCCTACAGAGCTACTATATAAATTGTGACGTTCCAGCTGTCAGAGGGAACTCATTTATCTTGTTCAGTTCTCAAACTGATACCTGAACCTGTCCATGTAAACCTAGAATGGCAGGACCAGTGGATGAGAAGCCAGCTGCCCAAGCTGCACAAGTGCCAATGAGTGCTAGAGAGCTGCTGTGCCCCCTGCTGATGGAGCAAGCAGAGTGGTGACATCTTTGGGAAAGGCACTRGACCTAGTGCTTCCATTAATCGTCCTTGTCTGTTATGCAAGTCTTGTTTTGGGTTCAGCATGTTCACATCTTTGTAAACAGAATTTTCTTATGTGTYAAGCAGAGTAAGAAAGGTTTGGGATGAGAAATAGGCTATATAGTAARAATCTATTTCTGAGCCATCTGTATTGAAGGAAAACCCTTTGAACAAAAGGCAACTATTGCATGGATTTACAGAGGTCCCTGTTGTTCATGGACTTATATTTAATAGCCACGCATCTTCCTTTGTGAGTGTAGGTAGCCTGTATGAGCAGATTTCATGCCACACAGAGTTKCAGCTCTGCATTTCCTGAAAAGGGAGACTCTTCCGCTCTTCTTTGCTGGAAGCATACCAGAAAACTATTTTTTTGTTTGTTGAAAGAGATTCAGAATAATAAAAATAATCTTCACTGTTCCTGAAAATCAGGCCAATGAATAGGATCTTTCTCCATCTCAGAATCCTCTTTAAAAGTCCTTGTCAGTGAGCTAAGAAACTAGACTGGAAACTAGATTAGAAGTTTTGACATATGTATCACTTTACAGAAGTAGCAATATTAAAAAATCTTATTTAATATATTAAAAACAAGAAAACCTTGCCCTATATTTCTATAGATCTGATTTCACTTAATAATGAAAGATTTTTTTATTACAAAAAGATATTTTTCTATAATTTAAAAAAATAATTTTTTTTTCAGTTTTTACTTATTGCTTATTTCCACATCTATAGAACTGTGAACATATAAGTAGATTTTTTTCCCCCCTYACTGGACAACATTCTCCAAACTGACAGTAACATTTTAACAATAGCATCTCAGTGTTAGTGATATAAAAAGGAAAGACATATTTTTAGGTTAGTATTTTCCAATCTAAGTACTGTTTTGGGTTTTTTTGTTTTGTTTTGTTTTGTTTTGTTTGTTTTGTTTTTTTGGTGCCGGGGATTGGACTCAGGGCACTTGACTTGACCATTGAGCCACATCTCCAGCCCTATTTTGTATTTCATTTAGAGACATGGTCTCATTGAGTTTCTTAGCACCTCACAGTTGCTCAGGCTGGCTTTGAACTCGCAATTATCCTGTCTCAGCCTTCYAAGCCACTGGGAGTACAGRTATGCACCACCATGCCCAGCCTATGTACTGTTTTGACTTTAGAGTCTTCCCTTAAAATGAAAACATTCTGAGTGAAAAAAGAACAACAAATAACTTATCATATGAACTGCTAATAGGACCTGAGGTGGGGCTTCTGGGAGGCAAAAGATAATTGTRTACCTAAAGCTTTTGGAAAGCTTCAGTAGTGGTCATTTTCTTCTTTTATTTGAGAGTTGAGAGTGACAATACTAGATGTCTTTCATACCAATTTGTGATTATTATAAATTCAAGTGATTATTAGTATTAAGGATGTTGTTAGCAATACAGTGAGCAAATATAGGCACATCATCTTTTCTTTTTTTACATATTCTGAGATGTCATCAGTAATCAGGTATATTTAAAGCTTCTCTGAGTGCATGTGTTTAGTATACAGCTTCACTTGGGAAGAGGAGACTGAAAAAGGCTGGAAAGATTTGAGTCTACCTAGGACTGCCTCTGTGCTGAAAAATGGGTGGTCAAAGTTATATAGTTGGGGCCGGAGGTATAGTGCATTGCTAGAGCACTTGCCTTTCATGCACAAGGCCCTGAGCTCAGTACCCAGCATCAAAAACACTACTAATATGAAAAGGAAATGAAGTAACTTTCTCTTTTTTACCAAGAGTGTTGTGTATACCATGTTGTGGAGTTTTAGCAACGATAAACAGGCTATCTATCACAGACTCCACTTTTAACTTTTTCTCTATTCTTGTGTTTGTTCACAGCGCCCTTCATAGCTGCCATGATATAGTTTTACGAAGAAGCTACTTGGGAAGCTGGGGCTTTAGTATTGTAGGAGGATATGAGGAGAACCATACCAATCAGCCTTTCTTCATTAAAACCATTGTCTTGGGAACTCCTGCTTATTATGATGGAAGATTAAAGTGAGTAGTGTTCTCATTAATGATGGAATTTGTGTTTGTTAAGCTACACATGATCTAGCCCAGGGTTTAGTACCCAGTTCAGCCTGCTCTCCATTTTTGTAAATAAAGTTATTGCAACACAGCCATGCTTATTTATTGATAACTTCTATGGCTGCTACCATACAGACTTGAGTTGGTGTGACAGAAACCATATGACTGAAACTTTGTGTGATTCACAAAACCTATAATATTTACCATGTTTCCAGAAAACATTTGCCAACCCTGTCGAGGCCGGAGTACCACTTTTACTAACTTATCACTTAAAAGCTGTATTTTATTAATCTAATGACCAGAACTGAACCTGAGTCATTTGATTGAATATATTGTGACATGATGACAATCTCTGAGCAGTTTTTCCACACAGACTACTTAGGTTCAGTTCTGTCATTAGATGACTATTTTATTTTTCTACCTGAAACATCAGGCAGATATTTATAGGAACTCCATGAGGGAGGATTTTTTTTTTTTTTTTTAAACCAAGGATTGAACTCACGGGCACTTAACCACTGAACTACATCCCCACTCCTTTGAGATAGAGTTTCACTAAGCRGCTTGAGGCCTCCCTAAGTTGCTGAGGCTGGCTTTGAACTTGCAACCCTTCTAACTCAGCCTCCTGAGCTTCTGGGATTACAGGCATGTGCTGCCATGCCTGGGGAGGGAGGAATTTTGTTGCATTTATTGTTATGTCTTGAGCAGCTCCCATAGCAGTGTCTTGCATGTAGTAAGATCTTGGTGTATATTTGGTGAATGAATGTGCAGTAGTTTACCATATGCCAGGCATAGTGCTAAGGGCTGTGGGTACATCACTTAACCTTAACACCCCTGGAATGTTTTACAGACAAACTAACTGAAGCTAGGGAAGGCTTAAGAAACTTGCCCACAACCAGATAGCTGAAAGTGATTGACTGGCATTCAAACTCAGGATTGCCTGGCTCCAGAGCCCTGGCTTCAGACTTCTGCTGACAGCCGCCACTAGGCCTCACCCAGCCAGCTTTTCTGTTTCAAAGTTTAGGCACTGGGAGAAGAAAGGAAAGTGTCATGTCAAGAGATTATCACCAAGAGGAAGGAAGAGGTGCTCAACTGTAAAGTCTTAGTACCTAGTTTTCAATGGAAGAACCTGTTTTTTTTTTTAAGTAAATATATTCTTCTGTGTGCAGTGATACACATCTGCAATCCTGGCAATTCAGAAGACTGAAACAGGAGAATGGCCTCAGCAACTTAAACCCTATCTCAAAAAATAAAAAGGGCTGGGAATGTGGCTTAGTGATAAAGCACTCCTGGGTTAAATCTCTAGTCCCACCCCCCAAAAAAAGTAAATGTATTCATACAAGACAAAATGCTGAACATCGGTAGTTTATACTGTTTGCAAAGAGGAAGAGACACTTAAATAATATTGTGAAAAGCTAATCAAAAATATGCTCCAGAKCAGTCTCTATTGATAAAGACGAAAAAGGTTATCACTTTAGGATGAACAAATGAATTAATCATTCTCTTCAACTAAATTATCTGCCAGGCCTCAGTTACTTAGTTTATTGATTTTTACCTCACCTACTTCCAAAAATGAAATTCATATTCWTGTTGTTGTAAACTAAAAGTGAAACAAATCAAGGATAATAATAAAAGTTGTTACAAGGATAAAAAAAAGTCCTCAGATTTGTCACCCACTTTATACTTGGAGGACAATGAGTATTGTAGCTGAAAGAAGAGGAAGTATGAGTCTTATTCGAATAATTTAACCCTCAGGTATATGAGCTCTAAGAATAAATAGAGAAATAATAATCAAAACAATAACTAATGGGCTAGGGACGTAACTCAGTGGTAAAGCACCTGCCTAGCATGTGCACAGCCCTGGATTTGCCCCCAGCACCACAAAAATTAAAAAATAAAAAGTGTAATAATAACAGTGTCCAACACTCTCCAAATGCATCATTTGGTGTTTTTATTTATTTAGAAAAGAGTACACACTGATTCTCCTTGTTGTTTGCCTAAGCTAGTATGTGAAAATTATTCTACTTGTTCTTCAACTTCACTTRTTAGTTATGAGAGGGGTTCGTACAGGGATATTCTTCGTTAGCCAGGGAAAGCCAGCAAGTATATGTTTTAAAAATTTTCCAGATGGTTCTCAAAATAGATAATATACCATTGTTGTTGACAGTAAACCCATAAGTAAAATTGAGATTTTCATACTGAACAATTGGGATCTTTTACATGTCCTCAAAATAATAACATTGTTTCTGTTTTTATTTGTCTTTAACCAGATGCGGAGACATGATAGTGGCGGTAAATGGCCTCTCAACTGTGGGCATGAGCCATTCTGCACTGGTTCCCATGTTGAAAGAACAGAGGAACAAAGTCACTCTGACTGTTATTTGTTGGCCTGGCAGCCTCGTATAGAGTTTTGGTTTCCAGTCTTGCCTCTTCATTTTTAGGTTTTTGAAAGAAACCCCCTTGGTTTCATGTGTTTCTGTTTGTTAGGAGCTACTGGCACAGCTGGTATATGCAGGGCCAAAACCCACAAAGATCATCCTTTCATTTTTGTTTAAAAGGCTTCCTGAAGTTAGTTATATTTCTTTTAGCTTGGAAACAGTCTTCTGCCAACMCTGGTGAGTTTATATTTTCAGAATTCAGACTCTTGGTGGTCAAATTGTAACCTATGGTTACAAACTGTGACCTAGCCAGTTGGATAAAAGTGGTGGTTCTTTGTTTTCAGTAACTAAATCATAAAATGAGTTCTATATCCCCCAAGATCAGTGTCAGTGCAGCCACTGACAAAAGCATTTACTGCCTCTSTCATAACCATGAATGGCTGGGTACATTTTAAGTTTGTGTGATAACAGTTGCTCATTTTTCATTGTTATCAACATTTCAAAACGTCACAGTTTATAAAGTGCTTTTTCTGGTTTGTTTTATTTCTACYTTAATCTCTCAGTATTTGTCAGTGATGAAGATATAAGTCTGACTCTATGATAGACTTTTTTTTTTAATAATGTACCATTATTAGAGTAGTAGAGAATAAAACATAAAATGTTATCTGTTATCCAGAGACAAAGAAATTTGGGTGGTAATTATAGCTTAGTGCTGGAGATATAAAGCTGCATTTACTAAAACAGTCCAAAAGCATTAAAGATTAATTTCCAAAGGAACATTTTGCTATGTAGGAAAACTTTGAAGCCGTTTTTGCTAAAAATCATTTCTAGAGTTTGTATTATATTTATCAGCAATCTTGTCTGGAAATGTTTTTGTGATTCATGCAGTTAAATTAGATGATAAAGAATAAAGACCATATTGCTATTAAATACGTATATATGTATCACAGCTGAGTAGGAGAAGGGAGACCTTTTTTATTTTATTGAGAATAGGAACTTTTGTTTGTTGAGTGTTTTAGAAACTCTTTAGTTTTCCCATTATTTCTTAAGAACTTATTGTTTCAAGTAAGAGATTGAAAAGCTCATTAAAAAAAAAAATCTGAAATAGTAGGTTTTAGATGTTAATGTCCATYAGTCTGCTCTTGGTCACTAAACTTTCATATTTTGGAAATGTTTTTGAAAACTGTGCTTTATTCAACATGATTGTTCTCTGGAGAGTACATAAGGAAGTGAATAAGAAAGATATCTTTACCTTATTAATCTTATGCATACTTGAAAAAAGTTTCAGTTAGAAACCTAGTTCAGAATCTGAGCTAATTTATAAGTGACCTCTGTAATAAATGGTATTGATAATCAGAGAATGTATTTCAAAATATCACAGTATATTAAGAAGCATGATCACTTTATTTTCAAACCTAGCTATTGCATTGGAGGAGTTTATTGTATGTATAGCATGTCACTGATTATTCCAGTTAGTTTTATAATGATTTTTTAAAAACATATCTCTTTAGAGTAAATAAAAATTGGCGACAGTAATTGCTACTGATTTGTTCAACCCCTTAACTGCACTGTATGGTCAACATGTAACCATGATACAGTGGAATGCCCCATGCAGTATATTACTGTTATGCAATGATTGGCTTTTGAAGCAATTTGATATTGAAGTGCTTTGATATTCTAATTGACATGGAACAAGTTTTTTTCCTGCTTCCCAAATAGAATTTTGTAACCAACTTTGCTATTTTTTTTAAACAGTTTGTAAGAATGTGTCATTTCTTGGGGAGAGGCCATCCATCARCAAATATCATAACTGCTACTTTGTTATATATAAAATACTTATATTGAACCTGGTGGTCTAATGAGTCTTTAGGAAGAAGATTTTTTTTTTCAATATTATTTTTATCATGGAAATCTCAGAATCAGCTTAAGCTATAGATTTCATGAGAAAAGACTAGAGCTTTTGGTCAGAATGATATTTGGTGATGGAAACTTGTTCATAATTTATTGCTACTGTGGAAATATTTGCATTTTCTCATTTAATCTTTTACATTTAAATATTTTGATTTGTTCTGTGCCTTCAGTTTAAATTATTTCAGGACTTTTTTGGACATGTTTAAATAATGGTATGATAATCATTCAGGATGAAAATAAAAGTCATCCTTTCCATAACAGCAGTATTGTCTCTTTTCTTGAACAGCAAATATTAACTCAATCAGGAACTCTTATTTTTGTTCATGGCCCTTCCATTCTTAAAATAACACCAGGCCTGAGCCCTCAGGATCACAAGTGTCCCTTCCTACTCTCATTCCTGCAAGTAGAACACAGGTGATAGAATATGTATTGACTTGTGAATTTCATCTCTGCAGGAGCTCTAGACTACTTCATTGTTCAATGAGACCCTGAAATGTGAGCAGTGGTACATGTTGAAAGATAATATATAATATCTTGAATACATTGGATTATAGAATATTATTAAATTAATGCCATCAGTTTTTTACGTTTTCTAATGTGGTTTAGTAGGAATTTTTACATTGCATTAAATGGCAAAACTTATAAAATTTCAGTCAAACTCACTGATCCCCTCACCCTTTCCTTGACACAGCATTTGCCAGGGCAGGTAATCTTGGCATCATGGTTTCTGTTCTTTAGACGGCTTTGATCATCCCTGCAACGTTTTTTTTTTTTTTTTTTTTTTTTTTAAAGCAGGTGTGGCTCATTGGTAGAGTGTGTGCCACATGTGCTTGAGGCCCTGGGTTCAATCCCAAGCACCACACACACAAACACACATAAGCACAAAGAAATAAAATTGGCTCCCATTTTCCTTTTAAACTTGGCGTACCCTGTGGTTTAATCTCTAGTCTGGCATTCCAGATGGCTCCTCAGTCCTATTGACCCTCTGATCCTCCAGCAGGCTCCTCAGACCCCCAGTTCCTGGCCTCCCAACACATGCATATACTGTTTCCTCAAACTGTGAGACCTTCCCTTCTCTGCAAGTTCAGGTTCCCACATTTGAAGGCCTGACTTGAGTCTGCCCTGCCTGTCGGATGCCACTCCCCTTTGCCTGCTTGCCTCTGGATTTGCATTTAATCTGCCTCTATCACTTGCTATTTAATTATTGTCATAGTTTTAAGCACCTTCTTTGTCTGCCAACTTGTAGTGTGGAGTATTCTCCCAATGCCCTAGGTCTAGCTCCCATGATCTATTGACTCAATATCCTGTTATTCGATGGCATCTACTTCCCAAATAGAAATGTGTAAGCATTTGACAACCTCCACTCTTTGAATCCAAACCCTTAAGCCTATYAGAAGTCCTTTCCTAAATTTCATCTCTGGTCATATCCTTGTCCTATTTGAAAACCGTCAGTGTTCTACATGGTCTACAAGATACCGTGAAAATGGCTTGGTAATCTGGTCCTGCAGTCTTATGAGACACCCTTTCTTGCTTAATGTATAAACCATCCCCCTCACTCACCCATCTCCTGTGTCCACAGGGGCTGATTTGGTCCAAGTGACCATCTTCTGGGAAACCTTTACCAATCTCTGGGCAAATTTTTTTTTTTTTTACCCTTGTAAAGGCTTTATTGAATTCTGTTTTTATGGTCATAGTTGTACAGTAGGGAGACAAGAACTTGCCAGATAGTTTCTTGATTACCCCAYCTGCAGTTGTTTTTTAAATTAGACAAAGGACTGAGGACAGTAGAGTTCATGCTTGGCATACCTAAAACGTTCCATCCTTAGCACTGCACATACATACTCRCACAAAAAAAATTTCAATAGCCAATGTCAGATTCAGTCCCCTCTGAAGAGATTCCAGGGGAAGACTCTAGGCCTACTGTCCTTTTTCTATTCCAGGACCCTACATTACATTTAGTTGGCATGTCTCCTTAGGCTCCTCTTGACTGGGCTGTTTTCTCAGGCTTTYTTTGCTTGGAAGCATCCCAACAGTGTTGAAGAGTATTGGTCAGGTAAATGGTAACTTGCCTGTCATTAGAACTTGCTGTTTTGTTTTTGGTTTTATTTTGTCATGGTTAAACTGCTATATAAGCATTTGGGAAGAAAATATCTGAGAACAAATGCCATTGATCTCATATCAAGGGTACATACCATCAACATGACATCTGTTTTGTCAAACTGAGCGGGTGCAGTGACATCTCACTGGTTTCATTTTACATTTCCCTGGTTACTGGTGAAGTCAAGTATCTTCTCCATGTTTGCCAGCCATTCAGACATCCTCTGATGAGCAACCATTTTCTCATGGGCTGTTTGTGTTTCTATTATTGGCTTATAAAAATTATTTATTTTGTATGTTATAACTAGCAGATTATATGTGTGCAACTGTCTTCTCCCAACTCATGACTTCTCTTTTCAAGTTTGTAATGATATGATAAACCAATATTCCTCGYTAATTATATTGACAGAGGTATAAATAGCAGATAAGCAGATTGTTTTTGTCTACTTTTACAATTTCTTCATCTGCCAGAGATTGTCCACTTACATTATTCTGATGATTGTACTTTTTCCTTTCATCTTAATTTTTGCTTTCAATTTACTCTGCCTTTCTGTGCTTTATGATTTCTTCTACAGAATTATAGATTTGTTTCTCTTATCRGTTACCCTTGAATTTTTCTTTGTGCATACTTAACACCTTGATCACTCAGYTACTCTGCCCTTTCTCTGTAGTATGAGAGCCTCAGACTGTATGAACTGCAAATGCTATACTGTCTGACTTAGCCATGGTTGTAGCTTCTCTTTATTCTCTTGTGCACTTGACCATTATTACATGTTATATATTCATGGTTTGGCTACATTTTGTTTTTGAACTAATCAAACTATTGAAAAACAGATACAAACACATCAAGACAGGCACAATAATAACATCCCACAAAGAATATGTGCAAAACAGGCTAGAATGGGACTGGTGGGAACTCTAATCCAGACAATGTGGAGTTTGGCAATTGCAGTCCAGACCTAAGAAGAGATTTCATAAAAACTTGGGATGCAGGGATGGGGTTGTGGCTCAGTGGTAGAGTGCTCGCCTAGCAGTGCGAGGCCTGGGTTTGAACCTCAGCACCACATAAGAATAAGTAAATAAAATAAAGGTATTGTGTCCAACTACAACTAAAAAAAAAAAAAAAAAAAAAAAAAAAAAAACTTGGGATGCAGTATC